AGCAATATTTTATCCAACGATACATAATAAAAGATTTGTATTTGGATTGGACTCAATCTCACTGCCTGTGCATCACACAGGTCCCGACTAGTATATATATATATATATAACAAGATGTGCCATGTTAGCATGGCTCTCCTTGCTACCCTACCATTTATCTCTCCTTATTAATTATTTCATCATTAACTTACTCTCCTATAATAACTGGTGATCAATTCAGTCCAACCTAGGCCTGGGCTTGCATTAGGCTCACAAATTTCAAGCCCAAGCTTGGGCCTAATATTTTAGGCTGGTGTGTGTGAGCGAGCGAGCGAGAGAGAGAGAGAGAGAGAGAGAGAGAGAGAGAGAGAGAGAGAGAGAGAGAGAGAATTTCTATAGGCATCTTCCATTATTACCCTATTGTATTCTAAAGGGAGAGAAAATTTTACTTTCATCCAAATTCCATTTATTTGTTTCATATTATTGTCAAAGAATTATAATTTAAAACATAATAACTAAAATTAATATAAATTACTAAAGTTAATAAAAATATTAAGTTTTATAAAGTTTTTATATAGAAACTATTAAAAATTAAGAAAGTAATAAAAATTAGCCATTTGTAAATTAAAAATTCGAGTACATTTTAATTCTATTTAAAAATAACTAATATTAATAGGATAATTAAAATTAGTAATAAAAATTGAAAAAAATATATATCAAAAGTAATAAAACAAACCATTTGCATTCCATATAAAAATTATAAAAAAAAAATAATTAAACGGATCTACATCATTTACAACTTATCCCACACATAATGTAGGCAGTAGGGCTGTAAACGGATTGAATTCAGATTGGATCCAACTACATCTACATCTACATCTACATCTGATTTTGAAATCTCTAAATCTGTATCAATTATTATGTCAAATTGGATCAGATTCGGATTTAATAAACAACTATCTTATTGTGTTTAAAATGACCAAAAAGTTAAAAAGCTTAAAAACTAATTATTTCTAAAGTATATATATAATAAATTTAAAATGTTAAACTTATCGATTAGAAACTTCATATTATTATACATAATATCTATATGTATACATAATTATACTACATATATACATAAATAACAATATTCTATTGAACTTGGGTTTTAACTTTTAAATGGATCAGATGGGGTTAAATCTTCATTTGATCTATAATCAAATGCAAGTTCTAACATCCAAATCCAGGATAGTTGAATTCATAGTCAAATTGGGTATCGAACTCTCAAAGTCCATTGACAACCCTAGTATGTAGGGCCCAAGCTAAGCTTGACCTAGAAGCTATATAGACATATATTTACATAACAAATTTTATAGTAATATACATTATCAAACTCTAGCCCAAGATCTTTTATTTTTCTTGGTTCAATAGGCTAATACACTATCAAACTCCAGTCCAAAAATTGTTAATACACTATCAATCCAAAATTACAAATGTCACATTGCTCTTAGGGATGCATCTTGGACTGGTTAGGCCAGGGATCAACCGAAGCCCAACCCAAACTCTTAAAACCTTGAGATCGGGCTTAGATTAATTTAGTTATGACTACAACATAAATTTGTATATTTACTAATATTTAGTATTTTAAATATTTAAGTAATGTTTACAAAAAATGTAATAATTAATCATTAATAAAGTAAAATAAATAAAATAGAATACTAATAGATAATAATAAGAAAAATAATTCTTTTGTTAAGTAATTAGATATAGTTTATTATTTTTGTTAAAAATTATTAATATAAATAATCCAAATTAATAAATTGCTAGATTGTTTTTGTAACAAAACACTAAAATAATGATTAATTATTTTAAACAACATTGTGTTCCTTCCTTATAATAGTTATCCATTTCTCTTGTTTCATTTTGCCTTGATAAATCTCATGCATCGCATGGGTCCTGCACATCTTATATACTTAAAGTACTCTTCGTAATGGTCATTCTATAAACAATGAAAATGCCGTCTAACTTTTAAGATGAGATTATCAGCATTAAAAGACAATTCAAAATTCATAACTAGAAAGATTTGTTAATGGTTTTTGATGATGCGCGATCTATCTGCTCCCTCGTGTCAGGTGACTCGGACTCTGATTTGGAAGGTTCCTTCTCAGGGCCGAACTATGCCGGGCCGAGCTAGAAGTGGGCGAGCTGATGAGTGTCTGCAAGAGAGAACATTATATTGCTCGGGCTATCTTTACTTGGGGAGGGCACTCTAATGCTTAAGTCAGCAGATGTTTGAGAGTGTATTATCGCACATACCTTCTTAGGTAGAAATGAGCGCTTTATATAGGTATCGGTGGTCAAAGCCCTCTTATAACGAGTCTCACTTTCTTGCGGAGCCATTTCTGCTTAGTTGGGCACATTAATATGTCGGTTACAAGATCTATGTGGAGGTTAGGAACTGCCCGAAGATCTCAGGCCGATAGCATATTGTCAGTCCAAGTCAATGGGTTCCCCTCGTAGGTTGCTATTGACTCCTACAGCTCGGCCGGTCTTTGAGACAGGTCGTTGTGAGTGGGGAGCCTATTAGTTCGTCCTGGCCGAGGTGGAGGTCAGCCTAAGCGAGGTTTTTCAGGCTAACTTGCCGAACTAGTTTGCTTACTCAGTGCTGAAGTGTCACCCAAAGGCCACATGTCGCAAGATGATTAGAATGACCAAATTATCTCTCATCAATTTTAATTAAGAGAAATTTAAAATTCAGTCCCCCTCAAGAAGACAGGAACTTTTATTGATTTTTCAGTTTTAATTACCAATACCTCCACCTAGAATCCATTCTCCACCTGTCATTCTTTGAAAGTGTACAAATGGTATGAAAATTTATAGGGTGGACTAACCATTCATTCCCCCCACTTGTAGGGGTGTCCATGAAAAATCAAAAAACCGAAAAACCAAACCGATCGGTTCGGTTTCGGTTTCAGTTCGGGATTTTTGAAAAACCAAAGGATCGGTTCGGTTTTTGGTTAACCTACAAAAAAATTGACAGTTAACCGAACCGATCAATATATATATTTTTATGTATATTTTATATATATTTTTAATATATATCACATATTTTCTATGTATTATATATAAATATATTCATTATATATAAAAATATACTTATATTATATTTATAATGATCTATTTATAAATATATTATATATTTTTCAAATATTTATAATATATTATAATGCTATCCATATATTTATATAATATATATTATAAATATAAAAAATAAAAAAACCGAAGAACCGAACTGATCAAAAACTGAAACCTATGGACCAGTTAACCAGTGGTACTAATTCGGTTTCAATTTAAAGAATTTAAAAAACCAATACCACCGGTTCAGTCTACAAAAAAGTGCCATGGTTCGATTAACCGAACCGTGGACACCCTTACCCACCTGTTACCACTCCAACTCTACAATTTATAGGTGGACTGAAACAATAAATCCCCCAAGATTTGGCATTGACATCGGGACAAGTGGTTGAAAGAAAACACTGTTGTAGTTATGAGAGAAGCCCCTTTATACCAATAAAATGTACGAATATTAAATGTCTGATTGGTGCTAGCCGCTGGGTCTTAGTGATGATTAAAAAGTAGGTCTTTTGCAACTACCAACATAATCAAATTCAATATTTATATATTGGGAGAATGACGGTTCAGCCTAATGCGAGTGGGAGTTTTCTACATTTTAAATGTTTATAATTCTGCATTGGGCTTGTATATATTTTTCCCGTTCACATACTACGTATAATAAATGTGTCTCCTAATAACTATCTTTGAATAAATTATCAAAAAACAATTATCTTTGAATAAAGCGTGATAAAATAAAAATGTGTCAGTTCTATTGGTTTTGGTTTTGGTTTTGATTATTAATATACTGCATGCCATGGTTAAGAAGAACTATAATCCTCAAACGCCAAATAAATTTGCCAAAAAGAACAGCCCCAGAAAAAGGGCAATCTCAGAAAAATGTCACATAGATTCAACAGACTCATTGCACAAAAGATAAGTATCTTCAACCTTTATGCCTCTAGAGATCAGAACATCTCTATTTTTCCTCAAAATTCCTACATACGACTTGGGTTGTGCCTTGCATGACCTGGTCACATCTCTATATATAAAATCTGCAAGTCCACATCTTTGATCCAGAATAAGACCAGACCCCCACTCAAGCCATTTTAGTCCATACTCCAACAGTTTAAGGCTGCGCTTGGAAACAATGCCGATGGAGTGTAAATCTCGGTTCAGGGTAAATTTGCACTCTGTTTCACTTTTGCTTGTATTTGGCAATATTACATTTATGCATGGATAAATGATATAAAATACATATTTATATTGATAATAAGATGTAAAAATACATCAAGTAAATTTGCATTCAAGTGAATTTTTGATAAAAAAAAGCCATATACTTTATTAGAATTTGTCGATGCAAAATTAAACCCAACTTTACAATTTATATGGACCCTTTTACAGTGATCTACATATTTGCATTGGCAACGTGCAAACTTTTCTTAAGTTTCACCATGGAATTTTTATTTTGCATCAGGAATAAAATCTGTACTTTTATGTTTTTTTTTTGGGGGTCTCTTTAAATTTTAAAAGACTGAATTGTCAAGGGGGACCAGCCCTTGATAATCCCAACTCAAAATCTGGTTAGTATGCTTAACCACGTACTAGAAGCATTTTTAAAACTTTTCCAACAATAGTAACAGTTGATCCTTCATATAGAATTGTTCTATTTGGTTTATTTATATTATAACTTTATTTCCGCAACTTCTTAATATAATGTGGACAAAAGATGAGGTCCCTTTTATGTAGATTTTTTGTGTGCGCTCTTGGAAGGAGGCATGCAAATTAATTAAGTTTTTCCCAACAAACATACAAACCCATTAGCTCATACAGAGAGAGAGAGAGAGAGAGAGGCATATTGGGTTGACACTATATAGTATTTGAGTAGTGCTCGATGAGTGTTTTTCTAGTTGCTTCAATTCCTTTGATACAAGCTAAGTGAGTGCCTAAACCCTTATCACCAAACTTCCTCTCGCAATGGGTAGCCTTTCAGTCCCTACAGACATCTTTAACCCCCTGGACATCAATACCTTCACACAAGAATCTCAAATGGTGCTGAATTTCATTTCTGATTATTACAAAAATGTGGAGAACTTTCCAGTCCAAAGCCAAGTTGAACCAGGTTATCTATGGAAGAACTCTCCTAACACCCCTCCCAACTCTCCTGAGTCCTTAGAAACCATTCTTGATGACATCCGTAGTAGCATCATACCAGGCCTTACCCATTGGCAGAGCCCCAACTTCTTTGCTTTCTTCCAAGCCAATGCCAGCACAGCCGGATTTCTGGGAGAGATGCTATGTACCGGCTTTAATGTTGTTGGGTTCAATTGGATAACTTCGCCAGCAGCAACAGAGCTAGAAAGGGTTGTCATGGATTGGATGGGTAAGTTGCTTAATCTCCCCAGTCCTTTTCTGTTCTCTGGTAATGGTGGTGGTGTATTGCATGGCAGCACATGTGAGTCGATAGTGTGCACATTAGCAGCAGCAAGAGATGCGTTATTGAAAGAGGTGGGAGGAGATAAAATAACTAAATTGGTAGTCTATGGCTCCGACCAAACACATTTCAGTCTTCAAAAGGCCTCCAAGCTGGTTGGGATCCCACCATCCAACTTCAGAGCATTGGCAACAACAGCCTCTACAGGCTTTGGCCTGTGTGCCCATGATGTCCGCAAGGCAATGCAAGAAGATGTAGCATCTGGGTTGATCCCTTTGTTTCTCTGTGCTACTGTGGGAACCACAGGCTGTGGCGCAGTAGACCCCATAGAGAGCCTGGGCCATGTAGCAAGGGAATATGGAGTGTGGTTCCATGTTGATGCAGCCTATGCAGGAAGTGCTTGTATATGCCCAGAATACAGGCATTACTTGGATGGGGTCGAGCATGCTGACTCCATTAGCATGAATCCACATAAGTGGTTTCTCACCAACATGGATTGCTGTTGCTTATGGGTAAAGAACCCCAGATCATTAGTAGACTCCTTGTCTACTGACCCAGAAATCTTAAGAAACGAGGCTACTGAATCAATGGGTGTGGTGGACTATAAGGATTGGCAGATTGCACTTAGTAGGCGATTCAGAGCAATGAAGCTATGGGTGGTGATCCGAAGGTATGGTGTGGCTAACTTGATGGCCCACATACGAAGTGACATAAGCCTGGCTAAACGCTTTGAAGCACTTGTGAAGACAGACAGCAGGTTTGAGGTTGTGGTGCCCAGGAGGTTCGCATTGGTGTGCTTTCGGCTCAAGCCGCCAAGAAAAGGAGAAGATGATGATGATGGTTCAAAGTTGAACCGCAAGTTGCTTGGGGCTATCAATTCGAGTGGACGTGCTTACATGAGCCATTCAGTTGTGGGTGGTACTTACACCATACGCTGCGCAATTGGAACAACTTTAACATCACAACAACATGTAGAAGCAGCCTGGAAGCTGATTCAGGAAAAAGCTGATCATTTCTTGTTGGTGTGAAGTGTGATGGCAAGGATGGTACTAAATAATGGCAAGCTAGCTACCACTGTTCTATATATATATATATATATATATATATATATATTAGACTGAATAAGTATTCAAAGGAAAAATAGTAGTAGCTATTAGGTTGGAGATTCAATCTTCTTGCCTCCTTTTTGTTTCTACTTTACTTTCTAGCTAACAAGTAGGACAAGATTAATAAGAGTGATGTGTGTTCTTAAGTATTATATGTAGTAGTTTTTCTTTCAACTCAAAGCCATCTTTTATCGGGCAAATTACCTTTTTCACTTGATTTAGAAGCCAGTACGTCTTCTTACAAATTTCTTGAGCTTTGTAATTATGAATGTCGCGTGATCGATTTGGTTTCTACTATGTATGTATGATAAGTGAATATAAGATGTAGCTAGCTAGGCCCGGTTTGGTTGCCAACAAAGTGATGAAGAAGAGAAGAGAAGAGAAAAGAAAACTAGTGAACGGAAAACGAATTAGTTTCAATTAATTAACCATTGACATGCATTAAAACTAAAGTGCTATGAAGTACACGTAATCACGTACAAGAGGAGTCCGGATATCCTGTCCATTTATTTCCCTGCACAACCTATTAAAGTGAGACACCTTAACGTTATATGGGTTAAAGGATTTGTACGTGCCAATAATTTAACCAGAAATGAAATTATTGAAACAAAAAACAGGGAGCCATTCATAAGTTTCGGGCGACTGCTTTATGGAATGTGAATGTGTACAAAGCTATCATTGACAGTAGAATAAAAGTGGTAATCTGAAACCTGGGTGATAGAGTTTTTGTTGAAAGATCACGAAAGTTTGATGCCATCCGTAACTTCTTTTTAGTCGAGTATATGTATATAAGGTGTCATCTCGGCTTGATTATTGAGGGAGACCTCGGCTACTAAGGGAGATCTCAGTTCGACACCTCGACAGTTGAAGGAGACCTTGGCTTGGCACCTCAGCAATTGAGGGAAACCTCGGCTCGGCACCTCAGTTGATAGGGAGGCCCTGTCTCGGCACCTTATCAGCTAATGGAGACCTCGGTTTAACACATCAACAATTGAGGGAGACCTGCAATCAGAGGCAGCCAAGCTCGAGCTCAAGTCTCTAGTTTGGATCGAACTCGAGCTCGAGCCAAATAAATTATCACCAAGCCGAGCTCGAATATCCAAATATTCGGCTTGGCTCAACTCGAATCCACCCCTAGTTGGGCAGCTAATAAAATCAAATGTTATATATCATGTATAATTAACACTTACTCGTACATGTTGATAGTATGTACTGTTACACTAGTGTTATAAAGATTAAGATACATTATACACTCAATAGACTTAGGCAACTATTAAATTCAAATGCTATATATCATATATGGCTAACACTTATTGCATATGTGCATAACATATGCTCTTACATTAGTATTATAAAGATTGCGATACATTAAATATATGCTCAAATAGGCTTGGACATCTAAGCATCTACTACAACTTCACTAAGGGATATTGGTTAGCTAACGTTGGGTCCCTCTCTCAATCTTAAGATCTCCACACATATTGTAGTGCAAATATATAGTATACATACCAAATACATGAATACATAACACAAATACACAAAAAATCGAGAAGGTTCAGATTACGTAATGAAGGCAATGGAGCAATTTTTTGAGAAGGAAACTCTTTCAAAAGCTCTTAATGAAATTTACATTACCCTAATTCCAAAAGTTAGAAACCTAGGAGGAAACTTCCCAATTTAAACCAATGAACCTATGCACTCGGCTCAAAAGATGGTAGCAAAATTTATGGTTAACCGGAAAACCCATTCTAGATAAAATCATCTCGATAAATTGATGTGCTTCTACGTTAAGGGAAAAAGAGTTATATGGCCTTGAAGCTGGATATGAGTAAGGTTTATGATAGAGTTGAGTAGAGTTTTCTTGAGGAAGTGATGAATAAATTGGATTTTGGGATTAAGTGTATTACTTGGGTAATGGAGTGCTAGTAAATGGAAGCTCAACCAGTAAACTTTACCCAAAAAGGGGCCTCAAGCAAGGTGATCCCCTGTCCCCTTATCACTTCTTGATTGTTTCTAATGTCTATTAAGTAATCTAGTTTTGCGGAAAAAAAAAAAAGATATCTAGAATCAAATCAATGGTTGGGTCTTTACCTTCTACCTTCCTATACAATGTCCTATTTCCTAATTCCTTCTCAAAGGCAAAGGCAATTTTCGTGAGAGAGCACAAAAGGAAAAAATGAGAATTAACTGAATTAGGTTTCAAGGATCCTCATTTGATCAACCTTGCTTTACTTTCCAAAATAGTTTGTGGATAGCAGACATGAAAGGAAGATACTTCCTTAAGAAAAACTTTTTGGAGGACAGAGTTCCAAATAATGGTTCTTGGGGTTGGAAAAGCTTAGTAGCTGGGAGGGATCTATTAAAGAAAGGTTTAAGCCAATGGGTCCCTAGTGTGGGACCTCTAGCCCAACTTGGTCTTGGAACCTGAATAGGTTTGTCTTCTCTTTTCCGGCCGGTTTTGCCCCATGGCCCCATGAGATTGTAAATAAAATTGTAGATATTAAATTGGAGTTGCATGATTAGGATGGTAAACTAGTGAATTCCTCGGTGAAATCAACATAGTTCCTGGCTAGATCAGAGTATGCTAATGAAAATAAAATCCAAAATCTGGTCGGACTGAGGAAGGAGCATTGGAAAATCCTATGGACAATTCCAATTGACGAAAACATCAGAGCTTTTCTCTAAAGTATTGTTTAAATGTAGTTGTCAATCAAAATCTCTTTAAAAGAAATTGTGTTTCTACTTTCTAGTCCTAACTCCTAACCATCCAGTGTGTGGTCAATTTGAAGAATGATCCCGTATACCTTATGCCCGTGTAAAATTGCTATGTTAGTAGTTTGTCCTTGCGAGTGGAATCTATTGCAAGATTTCCATTTTTTGCCTAGGAAGTTGGACGTTGCAGTGCAAGAAAAATTTCAGTAAATCCTTGTTTGTACTGCAATTGGTTTATGTGGAAAAATAGAAATGCTTGGATGTTTGAGAGTCAAGATACTGATCCTTGGATTTTATTACATCTATGAATAGGGAATTTCAAGATAGATTAAAGATTTTACAGCAAAAATAACAAGGATCCTCAGAGACTAGTCAGCTGCTGTGTGGAGGAGGAAAAGAGGCTCCTCATGGTTCTGGGTGGTTTAAGGTTAGTGTGGATGCTGGTTTTCTGAACAAAGGAGTTGCAAGTTTTGGTCTGGTAGCTTTTGTTATCGATGGTAGATGTATCCTAGTAACGCAATCTCTTCTCTGCAGGTTGAAGCTATGGCCATTAGAGAAGGCCTTCTTTATGATATTAGATCAAAGTGGACTCGCCTGTTTATTTTGTACAAAAATTAAAGTAATTCTGGAATCGGATTGTTATCCAAGCTATTTGAGCCCAAAGTCCTGGTGGTGTTGTTGATGTTTTATGTCTATGAAAAGATATTGCAGAGCTTGCTTCAAAGGTGACTCTTAAATTTTGCTTTTGTAAAGCGTGAGAAGAATGTTTTAGCTCACGCTCTTGCCCAAAGAAATTTGAATTCTTTACTGTTTACACGAGAGAATCATTCACAAAACTGATCCAAACCGATTCAAACCGATCAGGTCGGTTTTACTTAGTACTGGGTCGATTTCAATTTCATTTCTGGTAAACCGACTAAGTCGAATCAGTTGAAAAAATACCAATAAACCAACCCAACCCAACCCGTGAACAGCCTTATCTAAAGTAAAAATAGTAGTACTGATTTAATTCAATAACAAGGTACATTTGGAGATTTAATTAATGCCACCTTTGTTTCTAATTCTAGGTAGGACTTCTTTTCAGGTACAAATTAAGAGTGAAGTAGTTTTCTTAATTAAGAGTGTAAACGTTTTTTGAGAAGTAAACAAATTAGTTTAATTAGTTGAAATTAACCATTGACATTAACCATTGACATGCATTAAAACGAAAGTGGTATGGAGTACATGTAAACACGTAAAAGAGAGCCCAAGCAAGATCTCTCTCTCTGCTTTCTGCTACAACATACTGGCATGTAGGTCCAATGTGTGCAGAACATTGGCTTATCCACTCATGATTGGCCTGCTCACATAGCCATGGTTCGCTTCACACACTTGTTTATATTTGCATGCAACAGTCAGCAGATACCAGTTGTGAGAAGCTAAAAGATCCACAAAGACCAACCCTCTGTGCTATGCTATCTCATGTCCTAAAACCATATCCAAATTCAAATTGCTTGATAATGCATCTCCCTTACAACCAGCTGTAATTCAAGTTGGCCTGTCATGGATGACTGGCTGCTGCAATTCTCAAGTTGGTCTCAGTGTTTATGGCTGGTGTGGAATATTAACATTGGTTAATTTCAACACCCATTTATCTTATCATGATTATCACCATATCTCTTTCTTTCCGAACAATAATTTTGCATGTGCAACTCTGCAATTTTAAAGCATCCACCACTAGAAACGGCCGTGGGATTTTTCTTTAGGCTCAATTTGGAATTAAAGACTACAAATGCAAATATGTAGAGTACAAATACATACAAAATATAAGGTTTTGCATTCTATATATATATATATATATATATATATATATATATTTTCTTTTGTATTCCTTTCAAATTGAGCCTTACTTCCAATGGAATGGACTAAATCATAAATCAGCTTCCTTAGTCGAGGGCTGACATATCCGACTTGAGGATAAGAGAGTAAGTCAGAGGCCCTGGGTGTTATCCTAAGGGCGGAGACTCTAATGGTCAAGTTAGTCAAGTACGCAGGAGGGGTCAGATGAGGCCGGAGGAGAGTAATCAGACGAGGTCACTCGAGAGCAAGAGAGCTAGAGAGCAATGAGGAGCAAGATTGTCTTACCTAGATGGGGGGACCCTTATTAATACTTGACCTCACCTTGGGAGCGGTTGAAGGTAGTTGGTGATGAGCGGCTAGGATTGAATCCAGTCGATGCTGCGTGGCGCCATCCTAGGCCT